AAAAATTAAATAAAATAATATATATTTTTTATTTGTTTTTTGTTTGTAATCACTATATATCTAAATTATAAACATAATGTCAATTGTAAAAGTACAATTAAAATAAATAAAAATAATAAAAGTAAATTAAATGAATTTAAATAAAAAATAAAATAAAATAAAATAATGATGTGGCAGCTTTTTGCCAAAAAAGAGTAAGTTCGTATATCGGGTTGCCAAAAAACCAAAGGTGGTGTATTAAACTGCCAAGGTTTAACTGATGATTTGGCTTCTGTTTGCTGAGTCAGACCCACGCCAGCTTTCCATTGACGGACGTTAAATCCGTGTATCAAGTTTCCAAGAATGTAAAGGTCATGTATTTATTTGCCAAGGTTTTAAAGTCTTGATTAAATGACCAATCAAGTAAAGGTCGTGTATTTTCCCATCATTATGCCTTTTTTAAAATAATATCTGCTTATAGAAGCCTGCCCGAACTTGGTGAGCTTGCTGCCTAAGCTATCCGAGCTGCCCGATAGTATAGCATCACTGCCCAGACTGTCAGAGGCGGTTATGGGGTGTGGACCGATCAGGTGACGCCATGTGTCCTTGCCCACGTGTAGTATTAATTTCCATAAGATTCCTTCTTACTATTTAATCTTTCATGTTAGACTGCCTAATGTTGTAACTCGCTCGTGGTCTGCTGTGGTGGAATGCTGACTGCTTTGAGTCCAAGTGTTGTTCCCTCTGATCGATAATACGACATACCGTACCTACAAGGCTACAAGTTAAGTTTCTATCAAACCATCCAAGGGCCCTAGCTCGACCTGTTGTTGATGTCTTGCACCCTTTATGTTGTCTTCCAGATCAAAGACTCTCAGTTCCCCATGGGCGATGTTCGACCACCACCGGCCCTGATGCAGTTCCACTCGACTAAACGGCTCGCTCGACTTAATCTATCGGTTTATTCCCTTAGGTATAGTATCCCATATCACCTGTTACGCATGAACTGTTTAAGAATCCTTGAGTACCGACCTCTGACGGCATATTTAATGCAGTCAAGACATATGTTCATCATACTATCAAAAGGTGATCATTTGATGTTGGACTCACTCTGCAGTGCCGTAGTCGCCGTCGAATCACATTAAATGACAATGTGCTAGCATTGTGAACCGTGCCCGTGATTTTTACACTATAAACACTTACCATGTAGTGTACCATGTAGTGTAATAAAGGCAAATTCGATCACTCTCTCTCTCTAAAAATAACTCCTAAGTTGTACTAAGATACCGAGTTGTTCAATATATAAAATCCATGTCGTCCGACTTCATTTACTATTTGTCTTCCCTAAACCGTTGGTGCGTATTTCTCATATCAACAATATTGCTGACGGGCATATGTAATATGAGTTCTAAAAGCGATCCAAATTCCTCGGTAAATCTCGGTATAAGCATAATAATACAAGTACCAAATTTGTCGACTATTTTATTGTCTTAGTTTTATTTTCTTCTTTTTCAAATTCCAAATATAACCTCGAAATAGCATATTGTGGCTTCATAATTTTGTTGACAAAATCGACCGTCAACAAATAGCTTGAAATCATATAATACATGAATATAATAAATTTTATTGTATTTTTCATTTTATATAACGTTCATTATGTTTAGAATCGACGTATATATGATTAAGCAATCCGACAATTCAACAAATA